TTGTTTGGTGATACATTTAACTGTAAGTTCTGTGTGGAGAAGCCATTATGTTTGATGTATGACAATCAGCATCTTAACTCTCCTGAGATTTATCTCATGATAACAGTAACATTGGAATGTTTTATTACCTTTAGGAATTGAATTAGCTGTTACCATTTGTATAGCATTTTGCTTCTGAAAAAAGAAATCACTTATTCATGTTTCAGGTCGAAAAGGAGGATGTGTGAAGGGAAAAGGAGGATCAATGCATATGTATACCAAAAACTTTTATGGTGGTAATGGTATTGTTGGTGCTCAGGTATGTACGTGACTTCTGCTTTAAAATACAAGTTGAATTTGGCTGTTGTCCCATCCTAGCCTTTCTTCTCAATTTTCACAATGTGAACTTGTATGCAGCTACTATTGCTTTGTGACTGCTAAATTTGTTGTTATTCTGGCTTGCTGACAGCTTTGTAATCTGCATCAAGCCAAGAATATAGTTACTATTTCTATTTTGGCTGCTAGACAGACTGTCACCAACCCATTTCCATTTGTTACTCTTCTTCTATCTGTTGAGCACATCCCTGATATCGGAAGTGTCTTCACACTTCTCAAGCAACCTGTCTCCAACATTCTCTAAACGTTGTTCTAAAATTGTGGTTTGTCCTGTACTGTGATAGGTTCCTCTTGGAGCTGGGATTGCGCTGGCCTGCAAATACTTCGGTAAAAATGAGGTCTGCCTGACATTATATGGGGATGGTGCAGCCAACCAGGTAAACAGGCTGTTTAAGGTAGCTCTGTGAGGAGAAATATGACTGCGGGCAATCGGTTTTCCTTCTGTGAACTGTGAGCTCTGCCTTTCTGCTGGGTAGAGGAGCACCTTCCCCTGTCTACCTAGTGTCTGCAACCCAGAGAGCATCTGGCTTTGAATCTGTTGTAATGATGTTTTGAAAAAATGAGTCTACTGATATCAGTGCATCTTGCTGAATCACTTACTTTAGACAATTATCTTCATTTAACTGGCAGAGAAATAAAGCCAGATAGGAAAAAAGTGATGTAGAGTGCACTGTTGATTTTTACCTTCCCACTTTCAAAACACATGGCATTCAAGAGTCCCTTCCAACTCAAACCATTCTGTGTTTTGTGCTACTCTAACACAGAGACTGAAATAGGTTTAAAACTTAAGAAATTCTATGAGTGGAGATAAACGTTACCTTTATAATATAACTTCTCTTTTATTGCTGCTGAGCTGCAGCAAGAGGCTAGTTTCAGATCACTTCTGGTATCAAAAGTTTTGCTAGCTGCAGCTGAATGATTTTTCAGTAGAGCCTAATGTGAGCCTTTCAGTGAGCCTAAATGTGAGCTCCCTGTCCAGGCAGAACTTGCTCCTTTTCTTTCAGGGCCAGATATTTGAAACATACAATATGGCAGCCTTGTGGAAGTTGCCATGTATTTTCATCTGTGAGAACAATCGGTATGGAATGGGAACCTCAGTTGAAAGAGCTGCAGCCAGTACTGACTACTACAAAAGAGGAGACTTCATCCCAGGGCTTAGAGTGAGTACAGCTCCAGCATGCTTTGAGGCATGTGTGTGCAATACATACATGCCTGTGTATTTCTATTTATAAATATATTTATCAATATTTTTAAAAATAGAAAATTTAAGATTGAGTTCCTATTGCATTTGTGATATGAAAGTACTGAATTTGAAAGTTTGTTTTCCGGTCACTTTTTTTTTTTTTGACTTGACTTGTGCTGTGCATCAGGTGGATGGCATGGATGTTCTCTGTGTTCGAGAAGCAGCCAAGTTTGCAGCTGAGTACTGCAGAGCTGGAAAAGTAAGTTCGTAGCCATTCCTTTAACATAGGTGAAACTTTCAGCAATAATTGATGCATAAAACGTTCCCCAACTTAGCCTAGCTTTCTGTAGTTACTGTAGAATTGTTTGTTTGTTTTGACCTTATTTCCTCTGTTTCTTCACAGAAAGGAATCTACTAGTAATTAAGTTGTTCTTTAATTTTGTTAGAGTTGTTAACATACAGTTGGTATTTAATCAAGCTTTAAGAAAAAAAAGAATCTTGAGACCTTGTTAACTTCTTTCTCCTTTTTAGCAACCATACTTAAACTCTGTTGTGAAAAATGTTTTGACTGTTAGGCAGAAATTTACTAGCGGGACGGGCAAAAAAAATAATTCTACATTTGCAACAAAAGGAAAGTAAAGTAATTTTTTTGTGAGACTAGATATATGGCAACAAGAGAGATTTTTATGTACCTGCCTAGAAATACGTACAAAACTATATGGAACCTTAAGGGTTTTTCAGCATCAGTGCCTGTTACCCAAGGATAAAACTGTTCTGATATATCTGATGTTATGTGAAATGATGTTTGTGCTTGGAATGCACAGAAGGAAGTTTGCACAAAAGAACAAGCTGCTGGGAGTTACACTCTTGAAGTGAAATAATAAGCAATTTGAAATACTCTGGGTGATGGCAGAAAGGTATTGGAAGGGACCAAATTACTTAACAATGCTCAATAAGGACGTGAAAGTAAATGCTAGTAGATATCAATACTTTTTCATTTAAGAGGAGTTTTGTTTTGCTGCTTGTGATAATGATATGTGAATTGATTAAACTAAGAGAGAAAGTTGAATTAAAAACATTTGCCACTTGTACAATTCACCTGTAGCAAATACTGCTATAGCACAAATCGATTGCTCGAGGTGATAATGCTCTCTGTATGTTCTTTCTTTTTAAGGGTCCTATTGTGATGGAGTTGCAGACATACCGTTACCATGGCCACAGTATGAGTGATCCTGGCATAAGGTACCATGGAAACCCTGTGTTAGCATTCACTGAAAACAATTAAGTATTGATGGTCAAAATCCCGACGCTGTGTGAAATACATGAAAGTTACGATAAAATCACTGTGACAAGTCTGACCACTCAGCCCTTGTTTTATTTTCAGTATTAAGAAATGGAGTTTTCAGAACAAGCAATATCTGCTCAATTTTTTGTACCTTTCATTAATGAATTCTGCATTCTGTGTGACTTTGTGGCGTATTCTAAGAAAGCTTTGACTGAAAAGCAGTGCACTTTTCCAGGGTTTTAGAGTATATAAAAATCCTATAAGCCTAAAAGTAAAGGAACAGCTGGAGCGTCCAGTCAAATGGAACGCTTCTTAAAAAGCACAAGCATACAGGTGCCAAAAAGCCTTGGGCATTGAACCATCCAACAAATTCAAACTGATGTACATGAAGTAGACATAAACCTTAACACTTCATCGGAAACCTGTAGTGAATTGGAAGTTTTGATTGAGTTCGTTAAACATATCCCTCTGTAAGTTCTTTGACCCAATCTAATAGCACAGGGCAAGTCATGTAGCCCCCACTGCTCTTTCCCTTAGTAGAGATACGGAGGAAGAAATACAGCCTAATTGTAGCCATCTCAGCTACAGCAGCTTTCCTTTTCCTGCTTGCATCATATTTAAGTCTGGATCTATTTCAGTTTCCACTTTCAAACCTAAGAAGTCTTCTGGCTGTAGCTGTGCTGTACTTTGGGTAATGAATGCTGCTGTATTTTCATTGCATTCCTGACAATTCTCTGGTTACACCTTTTCTCTAAAAACAAGCTATGTCCAGAACATCACTTTGATTCAAGAGAATTATTCAAGTTCATCTCTTTGCTTGTGTTCCTCCTAGCTATCGTACTAGAGAAGAAATTCAAGAAGTAAGAAGCAAAAGTGATCCCATTACCTTGCTGAAGGACAGAATGATCAACAATAACCTCGCTAGCGTTGAAGAATTAAAGGTACGGCTTTTACTAGATGTTTAAGCAAGCTTTTTTGCATTCATATACTACTTATCTCCTATTTATTCACTTTTTCTTCAAGCTTTTTTATTAGAATGTAACTTTTTGGTGATTGATAGTAAAGCTTTGTTGCACACTAGCTAATGCAGTTGTGCTCTGCAGGAACTGCTTTTTGCTTTTGGGTGCTGAGTGTAACTCAGTGCAAGGCTCTGTGAGTGTTAGTGTTTCAAATACATCTCTTGTCATGCTGGTGTCTAAGAAATCAAAATTGTCCACATGAACTAGAAAACAGGTAAGGCTCTGAACTTTGAGTCCTACACTGACAATGGCCATTGGTAATGAAGAATCCAAGTGAAGAAGCCAGAAGCTCTCTAAGCAAATGGTGTAAATATCCTGATTATTCTGCTATTGAGATCTCCTTAGACCTTTTAAAGGTCCGTGCATCAGAAGTGGGGGGGGTTTATGCCTGACCTATGAGGTTGCAGTCACATTTCTCTGTATACTTGCATTGTTTTGCAGAAGGAGAATACAAAAAAGAAAATGCTCAGTGTGGTCTTGTTCCTCTGGGATAACTAATTTGCTTTAGAAGGGGGGAAACCTCACAGTTTTCTAATTTTTTATGGACAGCTTTAATACTAGGTCTGATCAGCGCTTCAGCATCACTTTTAGATTCAAAATATTGATGCTTTTCCTGAGATGCCTTCTAATTAGCATTTCTTTATTTAGGAAATTGATGTGGCAGTGAGAAAAGAGATAGAGGAAGCTGCTCAGTTTGCTACCACTGACCCAGAGCCCCCACTGGAAGAACTCGGTAACCACATTTACTTCAATGAGCCGCCCTTTGAAGTGCGTGGCCCCAACCAGTGGATAAAGTATAAGTCTCTCAGCCATTCATAAGAATAAGTGAGTGCATTTACAAGAACTGTAATGACTCAGATACCTTAATCTTTAACACCTCCTCTTTCAAAAGAAGAGGTGTTGAGTAAGGCAGTCCCATCTCAGTACAGATTGTCTTAAACATGCCTGAATGTTATTTCAGAAGGAACTGAATTTGAGAAAGCAGCAGTTTATTTAAATTGCTATATATTTGCTTCACAGGTTTTCTTTGGCTTGCTCTATTTGTCATGTACAGTGTAAAAAAATAAATAAATAAAATTAAACTTTAACAACATTTAAACTGGTTTTCTGTGTTTTTTTTTTTTTTAAAGCAGTTGATAAAGAAACAAAAGACCTTTCAGGTTTGCCATGTTTTTACTGCAGCCAAATTACAAAATCAAAACCATCATGCAGGCTTTGCTTAGTTGCTCACTGAGAGTAGCTTTCGTACACAAAGCTATGTAGAGTTGTAGAGGAAGAAGTGACATATGCTACAGCTTAACCACTTCCTGCTTAAGCCATCAGCCAGCACACCTGTCACACATTCTAAAAGTTCAGTGTGCATAATACTAAAGCCCAATTCAGGTGTGTGATACAGTCTTCATTCTGCCCCTCCCAGCTCCCTCTATTCCCCTCAGCCACTTCCCTATTAGGACAGTACAAGAAGCTAAAAAACCAAAATGTCCTCAGATCTATACAGCACTGCTTATATACAACTACAACATTGGCCTGTTATCAACATTGTTTTTCTCCTAGAGCCAAACCATAGCATTGTACCAGACACGATGAAGAAAATCAATTCTGTCTCAGCTAAGGCTTTATATTTACAGTGATAGGACATTTGTCTTCTGTGCTACTCTTCCATAAGCTGTTACTACTTGCTGTGTATTACGCTGATGGTCAAATGAGCTATGTAATTGTGCAAAACCTGCAAAGCAGGGGGACTATGTACATATATACATCCAATAATTTAGGAATGTATCTATCTTTCATTTGCTTACTCCCATTACACATTCTGTTTCCAAAGAGCTATCCTTCTGCCTCCATGGACTTATCGGGTGTTTGTCGGTGGGTTAATATCGCATTCCAGATTCTGCAGAGAAGTCCGCCACTGTCTCAAGAACAATAGAGAACAATTAGGGAGAGCAGTAACTGGTTAGGGAAAAACCATCATCTTCATTACTTGAAAGTGAGCAAGGAGTAAACTCTAAAGTGGTTGGAAAGCTGCCTGATGGAAAGGGATCTTGGTGGACTGATGGACAGTCGGCTGAAAATGAGCCAGCCCAGTTGGCCAAGAAGGCCAACGGCATCCTGACTTGTATCAGGAATGGAGTGGTGAGCAGGACTAGGGAAGTCATCCTGCCCCAGGACTCAGCACTGGAGAGGCCTCACCTTGAGTACTGTGTTCAATTTTAGGCACCTCAGTACAGAAAGGACATGGAGGTGCTGGAGCAGGTCCAAAGAAGGGCAACAAGGCTTGTGAAGGGCTTGGAGAATACACCCTACAAGGAGCAACTGAAGGAACTGGGGCTGTTTAGTCTGGGGAAGAGGAGGCTGAGGGGGGACCTTATTGCTTCCAATATCTGAAAGGTGCTTACAGCGAGAGTGGGGCTGGTCTCTTCTCACTGGTGACAGGACAAGGGGAAACGGCCTCAAGTTGCACCAGGGTAAGTTTAGGTTGGATATCAGGAATCACTTCTTTACAGAAAGGGTTGTTAAGCACTGGAATAGGCTCCTCGGGAAGGTGGTTGAGTCACCGTCCCTGGATGTGTTTAAAAATCATTTGGATGTGGTGCTCAGGGACATGATTTAGCGGAGGGTTGTTAGTTAGGGTAGTATGGTTAGGGTGTGGTTGGACTCAGTGATCTTTAAGGTCTTTTCCAACCTGAGCAATTCTATGATTTACCAATTACGACAGCATAAAAAAAACCCCAAACACTATATTCCTTTAAGCTTAGGGCCAAACAACTTCTTCCATGTCAGCCAGAGATTAACAGAATGACAATAAAACGGGGAGGAAAAATAAGTAAGTTCTTCATGCCTATATGACCATTTGGTGCTGAATGACAGAGAACTAGTTCTCATTCATGGCAAATAGAAAAATTTTGAGGGCATGTTATAACTTACTGTATAGTTTATGTTACGTTGTTATAGTGTGGCAGTCAGTTGTTCATATGTTAACAGAAGATCAGAGTAAATTAATAGGTCTATAAGAATATCATAACATCTACCCCTCACCCCCTTTTTTTATTAATTAAGCTCTCAGCAGTGACCCAAGATGTAGTTCCTTACCGCAGTTGAAGGCATCGCAAATCATCCTTAGTGATGTCATTAAGGACAGTACTCAGTGTATAATCCTCTTCAGCAAACTGAAAGGGAAATTTGTTCCTAAATAAGTAAGTATTCCTCCTTTGAAACCCAACTGCTAACAAGGGCTGTCTTTTTTTTTTTTTTAAAGGTCTCTCTCTCTATATATATTTACCCTTCTAATGGTATCCGGGTCTGCCCCTTGTTGTTTCAGCCAGTTTGTGAGCTCTGGGTCTGCATTCTCGTTTAAAGTTGATGCAGGCCACTGCCAGTCTTTAACAGAAAAAATAAATAAATAATAATAATATGTCATTACACCTCAAAACTAGGACAAAAGTGGTGGTTTTGAGACTATTTAAACTTAAAATAGAAGATCCAAATCACCATTTAACCAATTCCATGAACTTGAACATACATGCTGTCAAAGTACTCACTCAGTATCTTCTCTTACCTCTGGGTTTAAGTCTTAATTGAAGCAAGTGCAATTCCTGTGTTTTTTGCTCCAAAGATTGTTGTAAGAGGGTCTGATACTCCTTCTCCTTCTGAACGAGTTTTTCCAAAAGCCTGTTAGCATACCAGAGAGATAAATATCCACCATAATGAGAATAAATCTAACTGAATAAAACATATATCATTTTTTAACAACTGCCATGGGACTTGACACAAGGGATACTTGATGCTCTTAAGTAATATATCTTATGACAGATTCCCTTTTTGTCCCCTTTTGAGAATCAGCGTGGTGGTAGCACTTTAAGGCCCTCATCTTTGCAGCAGAATTTAGTAAATACATTATAAATTCTTTTCCTGGTGTTCAGCAGTTTCCCTGGGCAGAATTTCTATCTTTCTTTATAGTTTACTGCAAGGCACTATGCACCAAACACTATGGCGATTTACTTTGCACCCATACAGAAGATGCATCAGCAGCAGAAAAGAAACAAACGGTGTTACATAGGCATCATTACTTAACAGTAGAAATCCACCAGGACACACTGCAACATAAAAATTATTGGCACAGAAATGAAAGTTGTATAGAAAGCTGTTGAATTGTCATACTGGTGCTGCCAGCACACTCTGAATCCATTTGTGTTGCTGGCAGGTGTGCTTTGTCACCAGGTTAAGTACATGCCACTGCAGGAAGCATGTCTGCGAGATTTTTAAAGGCCCTATAAATAAACACATAGTGTTTGTGTATGGGTTACCTTATGGTCTCTTGTTTGAGTCTGCCCAATTCCAGGCTAAGCTGCTGCTGAGCCTCGTGTGACACCACGGAGCTGAGGGTGCTAACTCCTGATGTGACAGCAGCATCCTCTGTCCCATTTTGTTCAGAGGGACGGAAACTCTCTTCCACTTCGTCACAATCTTTGTCGCCACCTTCAGTTTCTGATGCTGGCTCAAAGTGAGCTCGAAGTTCTGATAAAATGAAACATCATAAGATCTTATTTGGATTGGTTTATCTCCATAGGGTAGTGCAGTTTGCTCTTTCCTACTATAGGTGGAGGAGCCTTGGCTGAGGACTTGTTTCATGATGCACAGAGGAGTAGGGAAAGCCTTATTAGCTGGAGCACAGATGTTACAACATCAGTGCTAGAAGAAGTGCCACAGCACATTTGGACTGAAAGGGTTCACTATCAGTAAGTAAGTTCAGAACATTCTCATACTGGAAATGGTGTTCGACACTTCAGAGTTACCAAACTACTCAGTTTCAGCTTAGCCTTACTCCTGCACAGGTCACCGTCTTTTAACCTCCTCCCTTTTGGTAATGGTGATGCTTGTTCCTGCTACCTACCCATCTATAGACCAAGACTGTATTTCTCCTCGTGTAAATGCACTGCCACTGCATCAGTTCCAGAGCTGAGCAGTCATTTGCCAGAACACGTAACCACAGCAGACAAGCAGCATTAACCATTTGGATATTATCTAAATGTCGTATAGAGTCATTTTCTTTCCAACTACAAATGGTCCAGCTTGGACTAAGCTTAATATATATATATATTTTTTTTAAACTGGACCAGACTGGTGATGCAGAACCACTGGTACCCACTGTGTGCTTTCGTACTGCAACTGTGGCATTAATCCTCACAATCAATGCTTCTTTCTGATCCTGTACCTTTGACGTAGTAGCACAGGGGATGCGGGTAATGACATGCTGGTGGAGTACACTGAAACCTGTTTCATTTGCTACACAAATGCACAGTCAGCTTTTCCTTTTAGTTTGTTTACAACTGGATTGTTTTACCTGGAATAAGAATGGTGACTGCTGCTTGGACTGCACGGCGAATTATATTGTCCATTGCAAACATCCAGTGGGGCCTTATTAAATGATTTCTTAACACTTTGTTAACCTGCAGGTATATGAGCAAGTAAAAGTAAGTTAAATTGCAACAAACAATATTTACTTGCATCTTAGGAAACAAAATCTTGGTTTTCAACATTAAGGTGAAGTTTTCAGTGTAAAAATCACCAAAACCCTCCCACTTTTGAAAGGCTAAACAGCCAGTTTGATAGTGTTAGTCTAGAGCTCTCAAACCAGACTGTGACATTCAGGTCCCTGTACTGCACAATGGGAGGTGAATAGAAAAAAAATGCAGGATGCAGAACAATCTTTAGAACTTGCTGGTAGCCCATGGCAGCTCAGCTTCATGGCCAGGCTGGGAGCATCCATCTCACTGAGGCTGAGGCTACAATCTGTTAGGGCTTCAGCTCCATGTGCCCGTCTGCAGCTTTTCTGTTCAGCAAGAATGGGAACAGGGGGTGAGGTGAGGAAGAGCGGGGAGGCTACAAACCCCTGCACTGAGAGGACTGTCCAGGAAGAATTCCTCTCCTTCTGGCCAGGCAAGGAACTCACCGCATCCTGAAATCCAAACAGCACCAGATGAATCTGATTGATGGAAGTGCTGTCAAAGTCCAGATCCATTTTCAGTTTGGATATGGTAGATGCCATCACTCTGTGCTCAGGAGAATGTATGAAGTCCCTTAAAATCCCAATAATTTGCTTGATGTGGGCCATTGAAAGCTGCAGTTCTTCAGAGCTCTGGAGAAAAGATGATAAAAGCCTATCAAGTAAATCCCAATATCATTAAGTATCTAATTAGTAGTATTAGTATCTAGGTTACAATTTATAGCTTTGCACCTGTATGTTTCACACCTAAACACAGATACCACAGAACCTTTGATTCTTCCAAGTCTTTATTTTCTCCCTTTGTCTATGTCTTTTTTTGTTTTAATCAGTAATTCCTATTTACCAAAAATGAATTGCACCTACTGCTATCATGGCTGTCACAAAGAGAGGTTCAAGATAATATTTACACATTTGTCCAATGTACTGTAGAGGGCAGCTTTCCTCCATAAAAGCACTAGAGTGAGTGGTAAGGGACCCAAATGTTTGTAGACTGTGTCCCTATAATAAGCTGACTCTGGACTTCCAAGTAATTATGTAGACATTATATAATCATTATGTTTATGCACCCATCTATTGCAAGTCCGAAAAAGCTCTACGATTACACAGCAACAGCTCTCAAATGTTCATTCTCTGATTTGCAGCCCATACCCCCTACAGTTAAAGCCATTTCAGTACATGTAAGAACAGCCACCTGTGTAATTAAAAAGAAAAGGGCAAGTATTACAGAAATAATGGAAAGATGATTAAAGCAATACTACAGAACAGCTGGGGACTGAGGTAGGATGTGCTTTACTAAATAATCCTTCTTTATCCTGGAAAATATTTGAAACTGTTGTTACTTCTGACTGAGATGTCATGTACACATTTTAGACTCTGTTAAGGCCATTAACTATTTCACTATTTTGTCCTTAAAAAAAAACACAAAAAAAGAAAAGAAAATCACCCAAACCACATCTCACCAATCTCAGTCCTCTAACAGCCAACAACTGCCCAAAGAACAGGAGCCCAGAAGCAAAAGGTGATGTCTGGTACCTATTCAGACTACAGCAAAAGGCTTAAACACAGTTAAAGGTATTCAGAAGGAATATCTTCAGCTCAACCACCTGAAGTTCACACACCATCTAATGCAAGTGCCACTGTGAATCTGGGCTACAGAAATGTAAAGTCCTACCAATTTACTGCTGTTGGCGTCTTCATTTATTAGTTTTCAGGAAAGGAGTGATGCTGGTTACTTGGCTTGTCATTTTCCTTTTGAAGCAGGAAAAGGAGAGCTGAAATGAAATTACCTGTGCAATACAGTCCTGCAAATTTGAAGCAACTTTATTCTGTTCTTCCTTGAGAATTTTATATAGAATTGCCCGGCGTTCGCTGTCCTTCCGTAGCAGGAACAGACCAGAATCCTTATCCTCACTGGAAGGAGAGAAACTTCTGTCCTCCGGGGCCAGGCCCTCATCAGGCATGCTGCATCAGCAACAGGGCCACAAATAAGAGACCTCAGAATTGCCCGCATGGCAGCGCTGTCAGTAGTGAGCAGGGGTAATTGGTAGGTGCAAAAGTGAATTAAACTATAGCAGGACATTGATCATACTGCTAAACACAATTCTGAGAGAGAAGAGGATTCATATCCTCAGCTGATGAAAAACTCAGTGTTGGCACAACGCTGATGTCACCCCACTGAGAAATGGCACCATCATCAGCCAGCACTGGCTCAGTTTTGGGGAGGAAAGCTAAGAATTTTGGGCTGAGATTGCTGTTTATGTTTTCTGGTCCCATGTAGCACACTCATTTGAAAGTACTGGTTTGTGCTCTCTGATCAGCAAAGCTGTCTGCTACCCCTTTCTCAAGTTCTCTTGAGAGTACTTGGAAGGGGACAGCTCATCCACTGCTGAATCACTCAATGAGAGACTGATATTTATTCACTACGGAAAAAAGGTATGTAAATACACAGAAATTTTAAAGAGAAAGAATCACTGTTCATTAGTTAAATATAAATAATACTTAAATTTACTGATACCTTGTCTGCAAATTCACTGTTTAACATAACTGCATAACTTGTCATCACATGAAATAAATGCCCCCAAATAGAATAAAACATGAATTAAATCCACACAGCCCTCACAGGTTTCAAGCAGAAAACAAGTATTTTACCTCAATAAATGGGCAATGGGATGCCTTGTCTGAATCTCTGAAACGGATCTCTTTGGCCTTTCGAAAAACACATCATGCTGTACGTCGGAGTCTGGAGAAACAGAGCCATGCTCGCTGCTGCTGCTGCCAGCCTGTTCTCCATGGATTGGCAGTGGGAGGGATGTGTTCCGATTGTAATCTGTGAGTAGACATCACAGAACATGGAGCACAGAGAGGCAGGAAAAGCAACGTGTTTAAAAGTAAAAGGAATAACATTCTGGTACTCTTACTGACATGCAGATGCACACTCCCCTGTGTTCTGTTCTCACAAACGGCTACCAGTGGCATCCAGCTGTTTGAGGAGCCTGTCTTGGATGCACATGGCCAATCACCAGCATAACTGGATCCCAGCAGGGAGCACCCCCCAGCCCAGCCCCTCCTGCCTCACTGGGACATTTCTGTGGCACTGAGGGATACGGTGGGCATAACAGTGATGGGTTTGTGGTTGGACTACATGATCTTAGAGGTCTTTTTCCAACCTTAATGATTTTGTGACTCCATTTCTCTGCTCCCACGGCATCAGCCTCGCCTGCATCTCCCTCTGCTCTCAGTAAGGATTCTCTCTCTAAGGTCCAGCCTAAAGGAAAGCTCTTGTCCCATTCCAATTGATCTTGAAAGAAGAAAAAAGGTAACCTGCAAGAGCTTGCTGTAGTCCTGATTGTCATTGTGCAGCTGTGTGATAGGAAAGCCAAGGAAGAAGTCCTGCCCTCTCAGAGTCTACACAGGCGTGAAGCTAAAATATCACAAAAGTTTTGATGTTTGTCACTACAAATGGTGAAGGGAAGCAATGAGGGAGGGGGGAGGAAGGGAGCTGGAAGTTAAAGTTCTTCAGACAGCTGATATCCTCCATAGTGTGTGACAGATGTTCAAATGGCTGAGGTGAAACAGTCACAGAGATGAAACAAGGTATGTCAAACTGTGAGAATGAGCTCAAGGCTTCTCAGCAGCACAGAATATTGAAAATTGCTGTCCCAGGGGTACAAGGAGAGATTTGATGTGAGCTACTTTTATTATCAGAAAAAAAAAGGAAAAAAAAGACAGTAGGATGGAAAGATGTGGGAAAAGACAGGAAATGGGTACTGAGGGAAATGGTGAGAAGGTGAAATGAACTGTTGCAGCTGCAGGGCTGTGGCCTGCTTCATGCCCCCAGCTCTCCATAGAGATAGCAGTTGCAGCCAACACAGTTCTCTCTGGCTCTGGGGCAGCCATGCACATTCAGTTGCAGCTGCTGCTTTTCCTCCTCTCAAGCATGATGCAGTATTTGTATTGTTTGTCTGCTGTGCTCATGGCCATGGCCAACATTGAGCTGCTCCCAGTGCTCCCCTGCAGCTCCTTGAGTTATCCCAAAGAGCCCCACCACCAGAGCCCAGCTCTCCGCTAACCCAGTCTGGATACAGGGACTGCAATTCTCTTCTCCCACTGCCTCTCAGGACAGAGATGCCCACTTCCTTTCTGAAAACAGCTCAGCTAGATGTTATAAATTAATTTCCAGTTCCTCCTCATGCCCCCTTTAGAATTCCATTCCTCTACTTTCAAAAGTTCTCTGCCACAGGGAAAAATGATCAAAAAGAGATGCAATTCAGTTTGCACTGGAAATGTGAGCATGTCTGTGTGCAGACACAAGAAGCTCAACGGATTTTCTTATTTTTTAAATGGACAGTTTCCTCAAACACTGATTTATTTGATAAGTCTATACTATACTGCTTATCTTATTACTGAGAATGAGGCTGATATACTGGTGAGGTAAAGGGAAACACACTAGGTGGATAAAACTAAAACAACCCCCAACACAGCTCCTTCAGCAAACAAAGCCAAATTTTCAAGTTCTGTATCAAGTTGGACAACGCTGACCAAATGTTGACAGAAACACTTGACAGACTCATTTCCAGGTGTCAAGCACCAGCTCTATGAAGCCCAAATCTCTGAGCTGTACAGAACCATGAATCTAAAATGCAGAACGGCTTTGGAGGCTTTACAGAACATCATTTTTCTAATTTAAATTCCCTATAAATTGGTAATTTATTTGTGGGAGAAGGTAGAATTGGGTTGGGAGGTAATTACGCAGTACACAAAATAAGCAAGACATCATATTTTCAGGAAATTGTTAAATTTAAACATGTCTAATTACAAATCACACGTACTTTCAGCTGTTAAGTTCCTGCTGATTTCTTGGCATAAGTAAAAGAAAGTGCTTAATGACTCCAATCTTTTACATAACCCTTACTAATGATGTTGACCTGCATTTGGCTGATACCTGAAGGCTTGAACGCAATTCTGCTTTTCTTGCCCTTGTTGACTTGTTTCAGGAAAGAATCTCTGAGCAAATCAGATGCTGTAGCACGCTTACAAGGATCAGGTTCAAAACAGAGCAAAATAAAGGCTTTTGCTTCAGCAGACAGAGATTCTGGAATTTCAGGATGAATCTTAAACATCCCAACCTGCAAGTAAAACACAACGAACACAAATTATTTTAACGAATTGGCAAGGAGAGCGTGGGCCAAAGTTTTCTTAGCTTAACCCAGCACACTCTCACTGACGATACCTTCAAAGTGGAAAAGCAGCAAGCTAGGTGCCAACACAAAGCAGTGAAGTGACAGTGAGGCTCTGATCCTGTTTTACTGCACTGCAAATGTGGCTTGAATACCCAGTGTGCTACACAAATGTCAAGGTACAGACGTGTCCAAACACCTACCTTCAGACAGTCTCAAGATCTGGACATCATCCATCCCAAGGGCTTCAAACGCTGTTTCTCACACTACCACAAATCCCTCCTGAGGTAGTGCACCCCATCTCTCTCAGCAGCTGACATCCTGCAGCACATCAGTGCTCAGGATCAGGCATGACTTCCTCCTCCAACACGACTGCCTCACTGCCTGGGGCCTGCACCTGTTCTGTTCCTACTGCTGCCAAATTTCTTTGCACCAATGCTCACAATGACCTTGACTTTGTCACCACTCCCAGCACTTGGGTCAGATGTCTTCCATAGCCTTTCAGTGTTAGGGAACTGAAAAACTGATGGCCAAATGTTTATCAAGACAATCCCCCCAAAATTTAAGTAATGACAAGTGCACTACTTCAAGTTGCTCCCTTGTGATTTATCCAGCTAATTCAATGCCCTCTTACTCTTTAATGCACTGCCCTCTTACTCTTTAATGCTGATCTGGCATTAAATGTCTTGATGTCAGAGCTGTGTAATGCATGTCTGTCTTGTAGACTCAGCACCTTTATACACAACACGCTCTGGTGACCAAGCAGAAAGACAGTGACCACAAGGGACAATGGCAGCCCAACAGCTAAGCAGGTGCCAGCAGCTTGATAAAATGAATAGTTATTTAAATAATCTCATTATAGAGCTGCATTAACATACTTTGGGACCATTATGCACTTAACAGCAGCAATAAGGCTTCAAAAAAGCTGAAGCTAGAAGTGCTGAGCAGTGGTGCCTGCGTTTGAATGACAGTGCAGAAGATAAAATGCTAATAATGCATTATGCCTTCCAAATCAGAACGCTAAGCACGTTCAATCCTCAGCATTGAATAAAAATTGAAGGCAACCTTATTTTAGTGTATGCAACTTGCTAACCTCTGCAATTACATTAATGTATTTAATAAATAAATCAAAATGTAATCACAACGTATTTATGTTGTCTCCCATTGGCAAGATACAATATCAGAACACCTACCTTTTCTGTTGAAGCATTTTTATCTGATTTGTAACCCTGGACAGTTCTTTATAAATGGGCAATATCATATCTCACCAATCACTTTCGCTTTGGGCAGAGAGAAGACAGCCAACAGCTCACTGGGCTGTGACCACTCCTCTTAGTGTGCCCAACTCATGGTCAGCCCACTCCTTGGAGTGCTCTTGGAGACAGGCTCACCCAGCTGGCTTATCTGGGACAGCACCACAAGCTGATGGCACCATAGTACAGGGTTATACCCTTCAACACTAAACAAAAGCCAGGACAGTCCACTGTACAGTTGAAACAATATCAAAAACCATAGCCACCCTTTTCTTTCCCTTTTAGCTGTGGGGCATGGGACAACTCAAAGGCCTACTATGAAGCGTGATGAATTGCAGCCCAGCTTACTACATGTACTGATAATTATTTTTTATTTTGACATGGTTGCAGTAAGAATTACACCAATGTTCACAATGCAACTTTCAACAACATACCAGAAGAAGCCATTTAACAGCATTAATTTTAGAGTTTTTCAAGGACATTTATTATCAAAACTTTCTGGAGCACTTTCAAGTGTTTTTTTCATGTAGGCATCAAATCACAGAATCATTAAGGTTGGAAAAAACCTCTAAGATCAAGTCCAACCATCAACCCATCACTACCATATAGATACGTTAAAAAAAAAATGAAGTAGTAGAGAGAATTCACCAAAGAGGTGGCTTTGATTGAGAGGATTTAGGATGCAGGGGTCCCTCAGTACATACCAGAAGCTCTGGACTCCCTGTTCTACAATACCTTTAACTATCCTGCAAAGACCGAGCCTTTGAAAGAGAAGGCAAACACATCCTCTGGGAGGAAGGCTTAAAAAAAAAAGAAGACTTAAAGGAGCACTAAGAAATTAACTGCCATCACTGGAGACTCTGATTGCCAATAGGGAAATCAAGAGCAGGAGAAGACCGAAGAGAGAGAATATTAGTTTTCATATTTTAACTCATTTCTGAGGTTGCTGCTCTGAGTCATGATCTATTACCAGCACAAAAATAAATTACCGCTCACTAGAGCAGTACAACTTCGAGCAGAAGAGAGTACTTCAGTCAGAATTAAGAATACAAGTGGGACTGTGACTTTGCACAAAATAATCCATATAGCAGAACATTACTATCAACTGAATTCATATTTTAAAAAATAAATTAGAATTTGAAAATTCATCAAGTAGATAGTAAAAATCCATGTACTTACTTTAAACATTGCTGCTTGAGGCTCTCCTAGCTCATGAAATGGAGGCTTGCCTGTTGCCATTTCAATCATGGTACACCCTAGTGACCAGATATCAGCTGGTGCACCATATCCTCGTGGTCCCTTGTCAATGATTTCTGGAGCCATGTACTGCAACGTGCCTGGTCAGGACAATTAGTTTTGTCAAGTTTTATGCACATTCTTCATTTTTACTGAAGAGAATAAATGCCACTAAACAATCCAAAAATTGACAAATGCAGCCCATACAGCCAAAAGATTCAATTTCCAGTACTGTCAGTGAGTAGACAAAGTTACGTTTCAGGATCTTCCCTATAAACTTTTTCTTATACAAGGCTTTAAACTGCTAAAAATATATTCAATAATCAAAATGCTTCCCTAGAACATGAAATCACGTGAAATATTTTTTGCAGGCACTAAATTGTAAAGATTATGCAGATAGGAGGACACAAAAAACAGCAGTAACAGATATTGCTCATCAGAACAATTTTTCATATGTTTACTTGAATAATGAAAACATGGATGTAGGACAGCAGCTATAACAAAAAAGTGAATAGTTCAACGAGAGGCCAAAATGCCTCTGCTGATAAAGACAGAAGATCTGAAGAAGGGATTCTAAAGGGTAAGATGCCTACAGGTAGTGAGAAGAAAGCTAGAAGAAAGAAGCTCATGGGAAAAAAAATACAGCTCTAGACTGTGAAGTAGAAGTGGAGTGCTGAGAGTGCAAAGCAAAATGGTTTGGTGGGTAGAGGTGTTACAAGTAGGGAAGTGAGAGAACTGAGCAGGCAGAAGGGGCAAGCATACTTGTTTTTCACAACATATTTTTGTCAGTCCTTCATCAGTAGCAGACTAAGATCATCGTAATACACAAACTAAATGATAGATATTTTTAGGATGGTAACTATTAGAACTATAAAAGAAAAAAATTCTTTTTATACTGGCAGTTCTTAGATCCCTTTTTCAATATAGGTGCAATCTGTTTTTCCTTTCAGATTGTTTGTTCCTGGGAACACTTCTCCACAATATTAAGCAAGATTTAACAAAATTAAACCATCAAGAGTCAGCCAACAAGGACTTAACAGTAGGTTGAAAAAAAAAAATCCAACATCTGCAAGAAATACCTGTAATGGTGATAAGAAGGTCTGAAAATTACACAAAGTAAATAAGGTAAAATCCCAATTAAAAAACTCTATGAACAATGTCTCAAAGCAAATATCCTGCTCAGGTATTTTGTTGTTGTTGTTGGGTTGGTTTTTTTTTTTGAAACAGAATAACTTGGAAAGTAGATGAAGGTGGTGTTTTTGTTGTTTTTGTTTTGTTTTAAACAAAGAATAAAGTCTTGTAAAAGTTATGGAGCTGTGACACTACCACCAAGGAACAGCAACAAAAAACATATAAGTTCTGCACACTATAGTGACTGGGAATTTCAAAAAGTTAATTTATACAAGTGATTTGGTAAATATAAACTGATAAAGAATTTTCTTTTTAATCTGAAGTTTTACATAAAGGCAATTGAGGCTGCAATCAAGATAAAATGATTACATTGTGACTACAGAAATCAAGAAGCTCATCATAAGTTGCAATTCAATGAAGTCTTCTTGGTGTGTTTGGAATTTCTGACAACCAAGGTTATCAAAAAGATGAAAAGAAAAACCTACTAAAACTTCTGAAATTAGACATGTTAACAAAATAAGATCCTGCAGTTGGCTGTTAAAAGGTAAAACTGGATGCCCCTGAAATTCGCTTGTAGACAGTTTGAGTGTAATAACTAGCTGCAAAACTGAGAAAGAAAAAATACAGTACAAAAATGAAAATGATGGAATCGCTGGTCTTCAATCATATACTCAGACAACTGACAAGAGGGCTTTACAAGAAGTCAGTCCACATCAGCAAAGGAAATCCAGAAACATTCTCTGTGTTTCAACCACTACAGTACCTTTTTCCACACAAATTTCTACCAGGTCTTTTACAGTATCTTTAAATCATTTTTCTTCTTAAGAATGCAATAAAACTACACTGTGGTAAAGCTATGAAGAATAAAATAGAGGACACCTGGTGAAGATAAAGGCACTGGCTATTAATACATTCATTAAACAACTGTGGAACTACAGTTCAAACCACAGCTTTGCCCTCAGGCTGAGCGTCTTGAATGGATGGATATAATGTTTAAACCACTAAAAGCCTGACCCTTGAATCACCTGATTGCATTGCATAATGCCTAAAATCTGTAGTTTACGTACTGAGTTAAGAAGCAAAACAAATAGCAAGAGAATTGTTAAGCCCTTCCAGGCAATAGCTTCCTTCCTACTGATTTTAAATCCAAAACTGAGAACTTAAGTAAAACATTTCTAGTCATGGTAAATTATACCTCTAAGGCACGGGCAGGGCAGCAAACATACAAGAGAACAAAGAAGAAGAGGAGCACAAGGAAAAATTTACTTTATTTTTTATTACTGTATGGGGACATTTCTTCAGATACTATTTCTCCATAAACCATCTCTAATAACAACTCATAACAACAATGACAGGGACAGATATTGATGGCAAAAACTGAAAATATTCTTTTCTGGATATCTGTATGTATTTGAAGATCATTCATCCAGCTACTTATGGAAGATAACTCATTAAAATTTATTTGTTGAATACTTTGGAAAACACAGCGAAACTCATTAAAGGAATGCTTCAGAAGGCAGCATGCAACCAGCTTTGTTCAGACACACCTTCACTTACACGCTTATTTGCTGCAACCAAAGAGATTTTTTCTTGCAGTGCTTCATTATAAGCATTCAAACATTGCACTTATGATTCCAAGTTGCACAAAAAACACATATTTTCTTCTCTTTTAAAGACTCCTAATATAACTGGATTCTAATTAAAATCATTAAAGATTTGCAGAAAACAGATTCATTTCAAATGCCTGCACCTGCTGGGATGTTGATCTCAGGAGGCAAACAACAAACACTCTGTTCAGATTTGGATGGAAATTTGAGGTCAAATTTCCAATTCACAAGCTCTCCTAATAACTAACTCTTCTAAACAACGTTCTTTTTACTTATCACTTCAGAATCTTCATGATTTTGTAGTCACGGCTTCCTTTCTAAGAAAGAAGGAAACGTAGTCATCACCAGATCATGGGAAACCTTTTAAACATAGGTTATGTCTTCCGTGTTCTGCATGACTGATGATTATGGGCCCTTTTCCATACTTAAATTGCAGGCCAATGTGAGACTTGCTATCTGTGCTATCAGCCTAAGCATATGGTCAAACAACAGAAGAAAACATACCTATTTTTTCCATTGATAAAATAATTGAGTAATGATGCCACCATATCGCCATTTTATAGTCTGAAGTTTCAGCTGTTGTTCATTAAATGTTTTCCTCAAATGCAGCAAGTTTTTACTACTTTGTGCTACAAAGGAATTTATGACACAGTTTTGCACAGAATAAAAGAAACCTAATCCTGTTTTCACCACCAATCCGAAGAGCCTCTTGGCTCTACATCTAAGCCTATCACAGGTCTAGCCCTAGATGACAACGAGAAATCTATATTAACAATACAATTAAAAATGTCTGTTCAATTGGTCTTACCTGTAAATGTTTCAGTGCATGGATTGATTCCTGCCAGCCGTTTGGAAGTACCAAAATCAGATATCTTTACCACGCCACTATAGGTGTTCACCAACACGTTATCCCCCTGTAGTTTTGATGAAAGAGAGAAGGTGTGGGATGGAAAGAAGAAAACAGGTAAGTGGAGACGCCAAAACCCAGCCTCAATACTCTTACAAATTTGTTGTTATCTTTGTAATATACATTTCTACAAATGAATTTTCCAGAAGCATCAAAGGATTGTTGTATTCCTTCCTTTATTTTTAAGCTTCCATGAAATTCTATTAAAAATTCAGGTTAGAGTAAAATTAACTGAAGTAAATAAAGTGAAAAGCAAATGCCACAGAACACACTAGAGAAAAAATTTACCTTTATATCTCTGTGTACAATCTGGTTCTCATGGAGATACTTAAGACCTTCCAGAATCTGCTTGGTGTAAAATTTAATTGTGGGTTCTTTCATTGGCCCCCACTTAGACCTCAGGAGAGCTGAGAGGCTGCCTATGTAATTTAAGAAGAAAGCATATCAAGACAACAAAATCCCAAGATTAATATTAAATATTTAAGGCCAGATTAACCTTTTGCACAATATCCTAACACAACAAATGCAGCACTTATAATCAAACCAAATTATTCCTAGTTCAGTCACAGCAACTCATTTCCCACTGCTCGTGACTGGCCATTTCTTTTTTGCCAGCTCTGTTTCCTTCTCCATGACAGAAAGAAATGTTACGATAGGGCTATATGCATCTCCCTCACTTCAGTGTAACAACTGTTAAGATAAGGACTAGCAACCATTTAGCCCTTAACGAAATAAAGACCATAACAGATGACACTGTATTATACAATATACTATACTTTGTGAACCAAATGCACAAGCAAACAAGCTGATTTAATTCAGAGAAAAAAGGAGAAAAAAAAAGAAAACAAAACTATTTCTTTGCAAATGTGGGATTAAGTCCTGGAAATTCCAAAGGAAAAGATGATGGAACAATCTTAAAGAAACAAACTAATGGATGTTCAGAGAAAAGAGGTCAGTCATCTACAATTCCCCTGCCTTCGATAGATTTAATCTTAAAATTACACAAATACTCTAATCATGAGCCAAAATAAAGACTGTCTTTCTGTTCATAATAAACAAGGTGCAGTCATCCTGTTTAATGCCAGACAAATTCAGTTTAAGGGATTTGTAGCCTACGTCAACAGCTTTCTAAAACAAAGTTCGGTCAAAGAATCTTGCATAATCTGAACAGCTGGTTTCTTTTTAACACTGGTTGCAGAGTTGAAAAAAATAACAGAATTGGTTCAATAATACCCTGGCATTAGCAACTAATCACAGCATACTCCACTGTGCAAATATGAATAGGGGAAAAAAAGGCAGGTAAACAGCAGCAGCTGACGCTTTTAACAAGCGTAGGAAAACAAGTGGAAGTGTTGATTTAAGTTCATTATATCAGCATGTCACGCATATCATTGTCTCAGCTAAAAACAGAACAACAACAAAAAAGTAAAAATCAAGGCTCTTTGATCAAAAGGTCACTAGAATTCAAAATAGAAATCTTCCCAATCTTTAATGCCCCAGATACATTTACTTAATCTGTGAACGTTTGTGTCTGGATCTTTCATAGAAAACCTGATTTTTCTTCTTTCTGTTTTAGTTTTGCAAGTTACAAAACTGACAACACTCATCCTGACTTCTATTGACATATGCAAAAGGGAGATGGGAGTGTAACCTAGAGCAAGTGAAGAGGGACTTAAATACAGAAAAGGTCAGGGGAACAAAACTAATTCATGAGCAATAGAAGCAGACCCCTTCTGTCTTTGATTCGTCAAGGAAAAGCACTGTTTGAAAGTAGTAGGTACCAATTCATATTCAGTTTGCTCAACTGTATTGTATTACCACTCAACAGAAGCTAATCTTAAAAGCTCCAGTTATTTAGCTGCTCAGGCTAAAAGGAAGTCAGAGCTCTGTCTCTACTGATTTATAACATGTGAGGACTTGACACCAAACATTACGTAGTTTTTCCCTAATACACTTTCTCTAAATTTATAATTATAAGGAAGGGGAGAGGGGACTGGGAGCTGTATACTTCAAATCATTCTTCACATGCAAAGAATGCCACTAGCAATGAACGTCGCAACAGAAAAGCCAAATACAGTGCACAAACACATTAAGTGCACACCCATCGGCTTTCACTAAGTTCAGGGTCCCAACTGCTTTTAGTTTCTTTGAGAGATTAAGCTCAGAATATTACAAACCTCCTGGCACCTGCTCCATAAAAATCTTAATGTATCCATCCTCTGAAACGGATCCAAGATACTGGACAACATTCCGATGCTTTAAATATTTATGCAGTGCTATCTCTTCATGAAGAGGTTGAGAATATCTATTAAAAACAAACATAAAAAAACAAGGAGTAGCGCACGATCAGGGAAAAGGCTTTAGGCTATGTTTAAATGATATTTTGCAAACAGAATGGATTATAGTGATATTGATCCAACTCTCAGTAAACATCTTGCCCATGACCTTCAAAACGGAGAGTGTCTGGCTGCCTGCTGAGAAAAAGCACAGGTAGATCTCAGAAGAGCTGAAAAGGAGAAACATGCCCTCAAATAATGTATTTACACATTTACACATCTGCTTTGTTCTGCGTAGTACCTTCACTTTGAAAACTCCTTTTATCCTCTCTTCTCCTTCAAAGGAATATAGATGAGGTACAACTGCAACTTTAAAAACAAATTACTTTTTCTAGGATTTAAGATAGATGTATATATATTGTCAAATGGTATCATTTTTATGAAGTTTATACATGCATACACACACATATGTACATACATGTATGTGTGTGTATTTTTATATATATACACACACACACGTATACACACAAATACATATGCATATAAACTCCCAAATAATTAAAAGTCCTCATTCTCCAAAGGCTGCTGAGGAATACTAGGAGGAAACAATAATTGAACTTGAGTATACTAGGACATTATAAACCAACCACATAGAAATACTTGCTGAGAAGAGCCAAGTTTTCATCAAACAACTGCAGTTCTGTTTGCAATGGATACATACAACAGTAAGCTCACTCTTACCTGCTGTCTCTCTCAGGTATCTCTTTGATGGCTATTCGCACCTGGTTGCTAAGGTCTCTTCCAGCATATACTATCCCATAGGTACCTTTTCCTAGAACAACTCTGTCACCCTTCTCATCATAATCATATTCGTACTGCAAACAGATAAGACAAACAAAGCAGTACATGAATTGTGATCAATAGCATTTGAGATTACAGAGAGGTTTAACAGCAGTTCTGCACTACACGGAATTAGTACAGTGCAGAGTACCTACTGCAGAGCAGATGGTATCTACACACCAGCCCCATGCATTACACAACTTTCGAAATGTCCACTTTATTTGCTTTACAAAACATCTTCCTTAACCAACTTCCAAATGCTTTCATCCAACAAAGAAACACGATGGCAAATTAAGGTCAGTGAAACAGTGCTATCAAAAGACAGTTCAGATGTCATGATTGAGATTTGCTGACAAAGCCTTCGTATTGTAAACATATGGTCCATACACATGAAACCTAAGATTTCATAAGTAAAATTGGCAGTTTCATTATATCAGTTCGGATGAACAATTTCCTAATACCTTATTTGAGCTTAGCCAAAGTTCATTTCTGACACTCCTCATTACTAGTTCATCTTCCACAAGGATTATTAAATATATATAAAATGGTTGTATTCACTGCCATGGAAACATGGTGGGCCATACCACCTATGTAAGTCACTGCTGGCTCAAACTTCACCAAAGCTACACTAATTTACACTGCCTTGTGGCCTTGTCCCTTGTGGTGGTCTAATCAGAGAACTCCTACAGAAAGGCCAGTGGAAAAGTCTATTGATGAGTGCTGCTTAATCAAAAAACACCTCAGATACTAAATTAACCCAAGTTAATTGGGTTAAACAGAACGCCTTTGATTCCAATTCCAAAAGAAGTTGATAAAGGGTATTAAAAAAGCACTTTTGCAAATATTTAAGAAAGGAACTGGTAAATTTGATAGCCTCAGATATAATCAGGATTTGCACAGACCTCTCTCTGTATTTTCTCAAATGCACACAGATTTCCCATATAGGAAAACTGCATAATGTCCTCTGCTGCTTCGTGCGAGTTCCCTATTCTTTTATTTTTCCCCCTAAAGACAGACATCCTGTGAAGTGTCTTCTGACTTTTCTTTGTAGTTCTGGTATTGCACTGTCTACGTGTCATGGAAATTCCCTCTCTCCTCTCAGAAAAGATGAGATGTTCCCTGTCGCTATATGGAAGGTGCTGAAGAAAAACTGTCTGTCGTTTATCTTAACAGCATATTCTTTTCAGTGGAGCTAAACTTGAAATTGCTTAAGCTAAGCTAACTCATTTTCCACGTTTTAGCACTTTACAATTACAACATAATCTTGTTATATGATAGGCACAACTAACCCAAAATGCCATACGTAAAACTTGTCAAGTTCTTCGCTAGTAACACATCCAGCTTTCACAGCTATCGTATGACATCAAACTGAAAGAATACAGCAGTCACACTGCAGAATTTAAGATTGACAGCAATCCCATCTGCAACAGTCTAGTCTGAAGGCAGCTCTATAATCACTGCATTCTCCAGTCTCTGGACCATGAAACATGAGAATTGATGAGATTAATAGTTCGCTGCTAGTAGGTGGACATTTTAAGAGACCATATATGTTTAATGCTACTTTCTAACAGGCACAAAGAAAGATTGAATAAATCACTGCTCATTGACAAAGATCTGAATATGTGATCCGCTGCACGTGCAATTCAGCCATGATGTAGGAGTAAACAAGTGCTTACAGCTGACCTTCTAATATAAATGTGGGTCAGGGATGTCTGATCTCCAATATATCCTATGTGGAACGCAGTAGGAACTTCAAAAATAATAGGAACTTCTTCAATATCGATATCCAGAAACAAATATTCTAAGGCAGAAAGAACTCCCAAACACACTCTCCTTTCAGGCCTGTTAGTTGCAGAGATCTAAACCATAGCTGCTTTCAAGCAACACTGCAATTCAAAATATACATCATCTCAGAATAACATTATCATAGGAATTCTAACTCAAATAACCATTTTTCCCCCAAATTATGCTCAAGGTTATTTTCCCCCTTTCCCATGTATTAATATTCGCTTTATTAATTGTAAGAATTTCTGATTTCTCTATGCTTGTCAAGTCCATCAAGGAGATATAAAGGTGCTTTTTCCACTTGGTCTCATTTAAAAAGACCTCATATTGCAGGAGGGCATTAAGCCTCTTACTTAATCTAAGCAAATTTATCTTTCCCTTAGTATCTCAAATTCTTTTTCATTCAATTTCCTCACCTAAGATAGTAAGTACAAGGTGATAGTTCTGAAAACATTGGGACATATACTCATAGAATGAAGTAGCTTCAAAATCTAACAGTAATTTGGTCATTTCTTCATACTTCATTGACTGATGCAGGATTGTTTCCCATTATGCGTTCTCAAGGGCTTTTACCAATTCCATTTTTAAAAGACTTAAAGTATGGTGAACTCACTTCCTGTGGGGGATTATTATATATCTGAACAGACTGGGATGTTTTGAGATTTTCCTGCCATGAACTAAATTCATAAATATGCAATGTAAAACCTGCAGCTATAGATTATACACTTCCTTTGCCAAATCAGACCCTGATCCTATAATAAATGCCAAGACTACATATGCATGTATTAAGCTGGGCTTAACAGGCGTTCTTATCATGTCCTTTCCACTTGAGGAAAAAATTCTGTCATCAATACACGCAAATTTTAGTGCAAAAATTCTTTCTTCCCACAGTATGAAATTATTTGCAACACTACAGTAAAGAGTCATCTGTTCTTTTTGTCCTCTTCTGACACCTCAGTTATTACAAAGGTTCACTGTTGTTGTTTTTAATTGTAAGTATAATGGAACTGGTAGAATGGGACAGAAGCAGAAAGACATCCAGATCAAACAGACTACAATTGGGTTTTTACGCTCATCAGTTACATCAACCATATCTTTTCTTTACCCACTTGAGCCAGCTGGTATCAGATGATACTTATCTGTAGATTGTTTGCAGTGTAAATATAAAAATCAGTAATGCAATTCTTTAGGGATTTATACAGTTTACAGTACTAGCAGGATCATTTCATTTAAAAATAGTTGAGTTGTTTTTTTTTTTTTTTTTCAAATGAATATAGTTCTGGTCACAAATAAGAGTTGAAACTTCATATATAATTAAGTAATTAAAACTTTATTTATTGTCTTTCCAGTGTACTGATAGGAAACTGCAAGGAAAATGGAGAAAATGATTCAGAGTTCTTTGATCTTTTAACACTGACATACCTCCAATGTTTCTCCATCTATTTCTCCTTCTAGCTCCAAAGTACCGCCAACTGCATCAGACAAAATTTCTTTCACCAACCCACAGAATCTAAGAGAGAAATAAATAACAAAAGATCAAAGAAAAAAAGCCCCTCAGCAAGAGATTAAATACATTCTTCCCAGGATGATCTTTGCTTGCAAGAAAACAAATTGAATAGCACATTCAGACACAGGTTTCCTTCATTATTTACTTTGCCATACTTATCCTATTTTGAAGGACATAAATACACTTTGAAAACCCTAACAATTTATAAAATCATTTTATTTGCTCCTGCAAAACTAAATACTTGTTTGTAATTGAAATCTTGGTAGATCCAACACAAATATTTTTGCTGCATAGCTTGTTGTGAGGTGCTTACTAAGTCCTTATATTTACAAACGTAATTAGAGAAAAAGTTGAGATATTCAAAAATTATGTATTGATTTTCAGAGGTTCAGTCCTGTGGCACAAATTTGTAACATTATGTTTGGTGGTTCTCATGCTGTGCAGTGATAAGAACTCTATTATTTTCAGTTTAAGTTAAATGTTCCCACAGACTTTGGTTGCAAATGTCATTCCTCGCTATTTCTGAAAATCCAAACTTGTCATTTCTAATTGAGCATCCAGAAAGACAACAAAATAGAAAAAGTAACATTCTTGAAAAAAAAAAAAAAAAAGGATTTTAACCGATTTCATCTAGTCCTCTGGGATGGAGAACATTAAGCACAAGACCAAATTTTCCTGTAGGCTTCTGTGTGAGCCACATTTTTTTTTCCTCCTCAGAATTCCATAATAAATGGTTACAAATTATTAAAATAATTATAAAATATTTACAACATCTCTTTCATTGACTAACAGAGACTCATCTGGAACAGACTCCAGTTATGCATTAAAAAATCATTTTTAAAGAAAAGCTATCTTTCTTCATAACAGAAACTGCAGTGCCAAATTAATGCTTCACAGGTAACCATTTTGATGCTTCCTTTCTTCTAAGCTTTGCACTCCACAGAATAATTTTCTTTAGCATGAATTTACTCTATGTAACACATACATTAATAATTACTGCAAGAAAATATATAGTTCATCCTGAAATAGGGTATATTAACAAATTACTCTTAATTTATTCAGAAGACCTATATGTCATTATCTGTCCCCAGAAAGAATCTGGTCTATATTTAGGTCTGAAACTTAGTCAGCAGGTTTACTGTTAAGAGACAGCATAATCATTATCACAAAATATCTGAATACAATTGTCCTTGCTCATTGCAGGGGAGTTGGACTAGATGGCCTTTAACGGTCCCTTCTCAAACCATTCTATGATTCTATGGCAAACCATAACAGGTATCTGTGATATAATGCAAGTCAGAATTTTCAGTGCATCCAGTTGCTCTTATGTAAATCAAACTGTACAGGTATGTAAGGGAATCTAAATCATTATTGTACTATGCATGACAAGGCCAAGAGACAAAACAAATAGTAGTTATACATTAGAATAACCTACTTAAACTGACCAGAATCAGTGAACGCATGTGATGGGATTTTGCTCTCATCACCTTAAATACCACAGAATTTAGCTTGTTGCTTCTCAATCAAGAAAAAAGAAATGAAGAAAGAAAAAAATTCTCAGGCAAAATTGTTAGCTTTCAATTTTCACTAAATTAATTACATTTGGGACATATTTTGCATGTAATACCCACAGAAAATGAACTCACCTACTACACTGGTTTTCTGTAGAAAAGTAGATTTGAAAATCATCAGAGTTATCATGCACATAAAGAAAACAACATCGTTCATCAAACTTGGAAATACTGTAAAAAGAAACATTGAGAAAAGATTATTTTGGACATAACCATTAGAAGAAGCAGAAAAAAGTGAAGGTAATTTTTATTTGAATTGAAATCTCCAACAAATATGTTCTTCTTGGAAGCTATTGGCAATTATATTAACCTTCACTACATCTAGAAGCTTTGAGTTTATTTATATCCTTCAGACTAAAAAACGACCCCCAGTTTAATGAATGCCTAAGCTACTGCTTATTTTGGTAAGATGCTGACTTATATCAAGTGCTTTAAGGTTTGTTGCTCTTCTTCCCTTCCATCTTCACATAGTTCTACCAGATTTCAGGGTATTTCTTGATACCTCTATGGAAGTGAATTGTTTTTGACAACAATCTAGATATCGTGAAAGTCTGTCTTTTAAGCTTGACCAGCATTTCATATTTTTATACTTCCATTACAGTCACAATAAAACTGAGCAGGGAGATACAGTGAGCAGATCCTTCATAGGCTTTAATACTAATCAACTAGTTTTAGGATGACCAATATTTACTCCAAACTGCAGCAATAATTCTGAAAAAGTGATTATTTATTGCATATATAGCTCATCTAAATGCATTGAAGCTAGAAGTGAAGAGGCCATTAAACAAACCTGAAATACAGAAGTAAACCCAGGAATGAACCTCTTGTCATTCCAAACACTTCAGTAGCATTCTGCATAAGTGCTAAGCTATGATTGTTATGGAACAAACATTATTTTTATGAATTAAATGAATAAAAGCATTTTTGTTCTTGTCTGGTTGCTCTAGTCAAACTCTTTCAGATCATACTTGGCCTCTGCTGAACCTGTTAGTTAAAATATGTGACAGCAGATTACAGTAATGGTGCAGAACATTATAAAACCAACTTACTGTAGCACCATTTAGGGCTGTACTGATAGATGTTCCAAAATATTAAAATTCTGCCAGAAGATTTTTTTTTTCAGAAATATCTGAAAATATGCTTTTGCCATTCTATAACTTGGTTGTGATATAGGAGCTCCCAGTCTAGCAAAACAGGCAAACATGTACCCGGCACAAGAACTATATGGCAAAGCAAGATGATAATTCCCCAAGCAAATGTGAGACAGACAATAGAGTAACTAAACACTGTATTATAAATTGTGTTATTCTTGTGGCGTAAAAGCCATTTCAAAAGTATTACAATTTTAAGCTGTCATATACCTAGAAAGCATCCAGTTCCTCTAAATATAAATGGACTGTTTCCTTGAGTCTTGTAACCCCAGCGTGATTAAGAATCATAGCAAATGAATATCTTGTCTCTATTTAATCAGAAGTTATCTTTCTCAGTCATGACTGATTTGTGTGATGTGTTGACCAGAGGTGATTAACGTGTTTTAGAAATGGTTTGCTTAGTTATGCTCAGTCAGCTCCACAGGCTTGCTTCAATAATGATAACTTCACATCCATTTATACTGCATTGGAGTAACAGAAAAACACATCACATTGTATTCATTAAAACTAAAAATTGCTCTTGGAAGCAAATTCCAAAGACATCAGAGGATCTAAGTCCACACTCACAATTACAGGCTTTCATAGCAATTACCATTCACCTTACTCAGAATTTTACTTCTATTTCACTGAGCTTATTTACTTAAAAAAAAAAAAAATCATTCAAGTTCACAGATGACAAACTTGGGACATATCATTTAAAGGCTTATAGTGATAACTGTAGCCCTGAAAACCTCTGCATTGAGAACTGCAGAACACCTTAGGTAAGTAAAGTTTGTCAAACAGTTAAGCTTATGCATTTATATAAGTTGCCCCAGGAAAGAGCCACTTACATCTCTAAGAAGGCTCAGTCTACCAACGCAGTAACTCACAGACTGAGGTAGAAAGCAAAGACTCATCTCATGCTGCCTGCACTTACGTTTGCTCCAGTTCTAAACTACAGTCTGCAAAATACAGGCAAAGAGCAAGAATGCCATAGACACCACCAGGATGTAAACATAGGCTTCATTTTGCTTTCTCTCCTGGCTACCCGTCTCTTACCTTTCTAGCAGCAAAATATCCCAACTTTGAAAATACATAGAAGTTTAGCACAAGTTTAGAAAAGCATCTATACAATTGAAAACAGGATAATCTACAGGAAAATACATAAACAAATATTAGATGTGTATTTCTATGTGAAATATACAGCTCTGCTCATGCATGGAAAGGAAAATTTTTCCCTTTTGACATTTCAAGCCAAGTTGGACAGAAGCAGCTTTTATGACAGGCAATGCACTGGAAAGATTTGAGGCAGAATCCAGACTTCCCACTCAAGGGAAATATGAAGCATGCATTAAAAAACCCAATTTTTTCAGACATACCAACCTTATTCCCCTTATGGAAGAAGCTGCAAAGTTCCACTCATGAATCTGTTTCTGTGAAAAACAGAACTATATCAGATTAATACAGACACTGTTTAACAAATGTTACAAAGTTACAGCATGGAAAGCAAAATAAAGTTTTTCTCAAATCTCTCTTCCATTACTTCCTCCTTCCTTCCTTTCTTTTTTTTTTATCCTTCATCTTTCCTTTGAGAATTGTTGCTGTTTTACTCACTTGAAGAAAAAAGAATGCAAACACTGCAGGATGGAAGAAAAGGGAATATTTCCTCAAATAAAATTAAATTTTAAAAAACACTTTAATTACAATTTACCAAACATTATGTTTTGACTCAAATGATCAATTTTTCATATAAAACAAAAAACTATGCCCTAGTTTTAGCCAGGCTAGAAGGGAAAGAAAACTTCATGTTTCTTCCTAAAGAAGTATTCGGCCAACAAGGATAGCTCAGGGAGCACACTGGAGGTGAAATAAAGAAGGACAACCTGTGCCTTGGAATGTAGCCCCCCCTCCCTTTAGTAGCTGAGTTGTATTTCACATCACTAAACATACACCAAGAATTTGTTCCATAAGGAGTGGTACGTCAGGCACATTCACTCCAAGTAGTGAAGTAGCACACATACTGGAAAAAAAGTTCACAGATCAAGGTAACTGTGTAGCCTTGCTCTAACATACATCTTTTTCACGCTCCTCCTCTCTACAGTTTTAGCCTCCACCTACACCATCCCAACAGGAAACAGTGGTCAAACACATCCCAGTGTGAAATTAAAGTTATTTCTTTCTCAAAAGATTATACTGTCTATATTCCTTCTTGAACTTTATCCATCCATATTTCTTTCCTAATCTCCAGTACCTTATCTAATAGTTTTCATTGTAAAAAGTCAATTTTTGCATCTTCACAAGAGGCATCAAGACTTGTGCTTTGCATAAATGTAGTAAATTTTAAATGATTGCAAAGCACTCCAGATCTATATGGGAAAAAGTGAATTTAAGCATGATGAATCACAATACGAGATGCATCTGATGACAGTTTTTACCATTTCAGTGGGAGAGACATGCCACAAAGAAAGAGATCTCTCATCTTCTTCACTGTTGATTGAAACATATGCAGGCTGGTAGACTTTAGTTGGTTCTATCACCAAAACCTAAGAGAGAGAATATTTTTCCTTAATAAAACAGCAGGTAGCACATGACAACATGTTTAGTAAACACTAATGCTCTGGAATAGACAATAGGTAACTACGAAATAAGGCCTAAAAATTTTCCAGGGGAGAAAGAAGGGCAAGATGAGGCAGGAAGATGCTGCATTCCTGTGGTTAACAAAATGATATGATAACAGTTTCTATTATGAGACTTAGAAGTATTTCTTCACAATGATTTTTGGGCAGTGGGTCAAATGTTTTTTAAAAAGTATAGGTTTGCAGAATACAGGGGTTTGGTTCATGCAATGAAATAACAGGCAGTTAAACATGTAAGTACTGTGCTTAGAGTCTTCTAATTCTGGTGATATCTAATCCAGAAACATAAGAAAAACAAGACTTGTTTGGACATAACATCTTACTGGAAATCTCAGTCCATGAGTTGTTTCTTTCGTTGCCTCAAAAATTATATCTAGCCAGAAAGTCAATCTTTCTTGTTTAGGAGAATGTTCTATGGTGAATTTCTTGAAACGCTGTATTAACATCAGATTCTGAACTAATGATTTCAAGTACCTAGAACGTATTGAATTAGTGGGTTAACAGAGAGAAAACAGAATTTAACCAGATCCTAAAAGCACTTAACTGACTTAGACATCCAAAAAAGTAACTGCAAGTATAATGTGAAGCAAAATCAAGTGTACATTAAAAGCTACCATGATGGGAATGATCAATTTTTGTGCATTTCTGAAAGAATAGCTTACTTAGTATAAACCTTAAGTCACAAACTCACTTGGATATTCATAAACATCTTATTGCAAAAGGGTGTAGTCACACGTATAGTTAGGTGACAATTGGACAGGATATTATGAGGTAGAAAATGGGAGTTGGATAGAGCAGCAGCTATCTCAAGTCTGAAAAGTACTGTTTCACAAGGAATTGTCACTGATCTCTAAGTTCTTATAAACCTTTTCCTTTTCTTGCCCTTTCTTTCCCAGAATGAGAGAACAGAGTATAACATTAGCGTTACAATCTATGATGGAAAAATCCAGTTAAATTGATCAAGAGCCTACAGGGTTTTACTTTGTGTATTTCCCAGATTTGGGTACTTGTGCTACAGCCTTCTACTACATACCATACTGGAGGTTTCAGCTTAAATAGTTTCTCTGCTGCTTGAACTGCTTTACTAACATCATTAGCCAACATGCTCACACTGAAGAACTGTCCCACGTCCCAGTAATTGTTCATTTTTTCTAGGCTCCCTTTTCTTCCCAATAAACTGTTTAACCGTACACCTGTAAAATTTCAATTGAAACATTTTTCTATCAGTAAAACACTAATATATTAACGTCTATCAATAGAAGTCCAATAAGATATGATTCAGCATTAATGAAAAATAAAGAAGAGCAAGTGTTCTTCAGAAAAATATAAAAGAGTGCTTAATACAGAGGCTAGGGCTGAAAATAACATCCCCAACATGGTTTAAACAGCCAGAACTCCTATCACATATGATGCTGAAAAAATGCTGTTTCTATCTCATAATTTTTTTTATAGACTTATAATGGTGAGTTTTTACATGGAAGTTGTGTACAGAATTAGTTACTGTCTTGATAGATCTTTCCATGTAATCTCTCAGTCAGGGACAACATAAATCCTGTAGATTGTTCCCTGACATCCCCAAGGAAAGATGAACCACACAGCGTGACTTAACCAGCTATACAGTGGGATAATCTCTGTGGTGCGGGAGAGACAGTTCATGGATAGTGCTGAAGTCAGTCCTTGTTCCCCTCCTACACCTGGAGCCCTTTAGGTGGACCTAGTTACTAGAAAGTTGCACCAAGGCAACAAAATAAAAAGTGGTACTTCAAGATCCCAGTTTTTTATGCTGCCACTGGGGACATGTCACTAAAAAGCTTGAACCATGTTCCTATCCATGCAGCCCACCTCAATAGACAGGGAGAGGGGCAAAAAACACGTCCTCGGCTCTATGAGTGGATGCTTACCTATCTTTCTCAGTTCCATTGAGCTTTCAAACTGCTGTCCTTCAACAAGTAGTAAAACTGCAAGGTTAATCCCTGAATACAGTGTTGACTGGAGTTCAAACCCTTTGCGGTACCTGCAGAGAAGAGTCAGGAGCTCACATCTCACTCAATAGTAAATACTGCATAGTTTTGGTAGCCATTTTAAGCTATTAATTTACTGGAAGGACTATATGGCTAGTTAGTTCCTCTGATGCATTGCAAAGAGCACTTGGAACAAAGGAACTCTCTTATGGTGAGAAACAAAAACCTGTTTAGTTGTATATCCTGCTACTTTCTGTAGTTTTGTGAAAATAACACTTAAACCACTTACTGCTAGACTCTTCCATGTAATAAAACATGATTTTATTGTATTATTCATACAAGAAAAGCAATGAAAGTATTAGTCTTCAGTGCAAGTTTTACAAATTGTCTCCAAGTGCTTTGTTCTAAACTTGACACTCATTAGAGTTTGAGATATTGAGATAATGCAGTTATCAGTACTGTTCCTTAAATACACTAGGTACAGTAAAGTACATCTTCTTATGTCCTAGAGCTCAAAGGTGGGCACCATCCTTGCACAAAGAACCAACACATGTTTTTTATCGTGGCCCTGAAGCAGATTTTCTTTGAAAAGAGTTAGGTGAATCATCCTATAGCCATTGTATTCTCTCTGTACAGAAGCAAGAAAATGTATCCAAATACCTGGTGCTCAGTTAATCACTTACTCAAATCAAACCATTAAAAAAGTAGAAACAAGAAACTTTTGAACTTCTACATCATACAGCTCTGCTTTTCATAACTGTAAAAGCCTGAAGAAGTTTTTAAAGAAAGATTTTGGGCTTTCTTCAGTTACCATTCAATGGCATAATCTCGACTGTTGATATCTTTACAGTCAGAGTCAAGAAACATATCCTTGTATATCCTTCCACACAAGCAAAACATATCTGGAGCAGGGTGATCACACGTCTGCAGGACCTGAAGCATGACTTGTAGTGCCTTCTCCCTGTCACCTGCATTATTTCTTCTGAAATAAAAAAAAACCAAAGAATAAAATGAATGACTTCAGATCTCAAACAGTAACCACAAGATAGTGGAATAGTGTTTTCCTCTGCCTATCCTGTAACTCATCCATCATTACTATGTACAGACTTCACTTACAATTATGTTTGCAGTTGGTTGATTGATAAAAAACAAATGTGTTCTCATATCACAGACTCCTACTTCGAGCTCACCTAACTACTGATTTAAGCCCAGAATTCCTCAATGAAAGAAAATCTTCATCCCACACAATTCCTCCTTGCGTAAGACAGATTCTGCAGATACTCCAATGAGAAATAAATGCCTGTCTGGTGATCATTCCTGAAAATACTTTTATAAAGCTGACCATCTACAACAGCCTGGCTGACAGCTCATTCAGCTGTTGTCATGATTTTTATTCTTGAATCCAGAGGCTCCAGAGCCAGTACTTGACAACACTGACTGAGTACAGAAGTCAAGTCAATTCTACTTCAGCCAAAAGAGTGATCAATATGGTGACTTAGAGCTACAAGAAAAATAGAAGTTTAAAAATGACCTGTACTTCTCTCGTTATATTCTTCATACTGGAGAAGAATTTGGAAAACAACTGTTGTCATAAAGCTTTTCTGTCAAACATGCATCAATTGTATCAGTAAGAAAAAAAAAAAAAACAGTGATTAAATATAATTTCTGTTCTTTATTTTCATTAAACTGAACATTCAATTTTTTGTCTCTTTGCTTTATATTTTTCAGTTTAGAACTCAGTATTTACTTAGAACAAACAAAAATATTTACCTGCAAAAATAAAGCAAACAGCTTTTTTTCTTCTTTTTAATCATTCAGAAGACTTAAAACATTTACCAGTTTCTTTTCAGAACCGTTTCCAACTTTCTGATCCTTACCCAGATATCCAAGAACAGGCTTAAAAGTACCATGACTACTTTGTCAGAAATATCACCAACAACAGTTTCTGGTAAATTTAGTATTTGCATACCCTGGAAGGATTAATATTTTTTGTAAACCGGCTCAGCTTCATAGGTAACCAGCTAATGCATTAAAATCAATAAAAAGACACTGTAGCAAAAACAGTAACCAAACAAAAAATCCCTCAGGCTTTTATGCACATTAGGCAACGGAGAATATCTAACAACAGATTTGTAGCTGCCTGTGCAGCAGTTATCTAGCTCTAATGCCAGTGGCATCGTATGATCAATGAATATGCGGATGTTATAATTAAGAAATAGAAAAGAAAGTTAGGCTAAACAGGTTATCACACCAAAGAAGAATGGACAGAAAGCTTAACCTCGTCCTAGGCTTGCTGAAAAGACTCCAAGAGGAGCAATCTCCAAAGGAGAACCTTCTCCAGTGGTGTTCAGCTCTTAAATGGGTCCAGGAGAGGTGGAGCCAGGCTCCTCCCCTTCTGGTAGCAGAGGTGAATTGCCTTCACCTGTGCTCCCAGGGTTGACTCATTGCTTGCCTAAGGTGGTCAACCAGAGGTTCAGGCGATGATTCAGCAGTTCCCATACAGGCATACAGTAAACCTTCAAAGCAAGTACTTGTATATTTTTAAGACATTTTTACTTCAGATTGACTGTTGCTCTGAAAGTAACACTGGTCATCTTTAATGAGCACTCAAGGAGAAAATTTATATATTTTCATAGGTAATAAAAAGAAATTTAAAAGTGTGGGGGTAAATCTATGGTACTGGTCAACGTGCTTTAACCAAAACGAACTAACCAGAGCCTCTGAGCCAAGTTTCACTGTTCTTAATATGAACAAAGAGAATCACAGAATCATTAAGATTGGAAAAGACCTCTAACATTATTTAGTCCAACCACCAACCCATCACCACCATGTCCATTAACCATGCCCCTCAGTGCTGCATCCACAAAGTTCTTGAACACCTTCAGGAATGGTGACTCCTGGGTAGCCTGTGCCAATGACCCACCATTCTATTGGAGAAGAAATTTTCCCTGATATCCAATCTGAACCTCCCCTGGTGCAACTTGAGGCCTTTCCTTCTTATCCTATCACTGTTACCTGGGAGAAGAGGCCACCTTGCCACAACCTTCTCTGAAAAGTTGTAGAGGTTTTAAATTATGTTCAAAAGTTTCTGGAGAATCACAGAATCACAGAATGGCCAGGGTTGGAAGGGACATCAAGGATCATGAATCTCCAACCCCCCTGCCACAGGCAGGGCCACCAATCTCCACCTTTAATGCTAGACCAGGTTGCCCAGGGCCCCATCCAATCTGGCCTTGAACACCTCCAGGGATGGGGCATCCACAACCTCTCTGGGCAGCCTGTTCCAGTACCTCACCACTCTCTCTGTAAAGAATTTTCCCCTGACGTCCAACCTAAATCTCCCCTCCCTCAACTTAAAACCATTTCCCCTTGTCCTGCAGTTACCTACCTTTTCAAAGATTTGATTCCCCTCCTGTTTGTAGGCTCCCTTTAGGTCACCCTGCAGCCTTCTTTTCTCCAGGCTGAACAAGCCCAGCTCCCTCAGCCTGTCTTCATAGGGAGGTGCTCCAGTCCCCTGAGGAGGCCCTCCTCTGGACCCTTTCCAACAGTTTCCTGTCTTTTTTGTACTGGGGGCTCCACACTTGGACGCAGTACTCCAGATGGGGCCTCACCTCCCTGTCCCTGCTGGCCACCCCTCTTTTGACGGAGCCCAGGATACCATTTGCCTTCCGAGCTGCAAGGACACACTGCTGGCTCATATTAAGTTTTTCATCTATCAAGACCCCCAGGTCCTTCTCCACAGGGCTGCTCTTAAGGACCGCTCCTTCCAATCTGTAGGGATGCCTGGGATTCTTCCAGCCCAAGTGCAAAACTCTGCACTTTGCCGTGTTGAACCTCATCAGGTTCACCCAGACCCACCTTTCTAGCCTCTCGAGGTCCCTCTGAATGACATCCCTTCCTTCAACTGTGTCGACCACACCACTCAGCTTGTGGTCAGCAAACTTGCTGAGGGTGCACTCGATTCCGTCATCGATGTCACTGATAAAGATGTTAAAGAGCACCGGTCCCAAGACAGACCCCTGGGGGACGCCACTCGTTACCGGCCTCCACCTGGACATCGAGCCATTGATGACCACCCTCTGTCTGTGGCCTTTCAACCAGTTTCTTAGCCATCGAGTGGTCCACCCATCAAATCCACATCCCTCCATTTTGGAGATAAGGATGTGGTGGGAGACTGAGCCAAAGGCCTTGCTCAAGGTACCAAAAGACACATACAGTGACAGCATAAGTCTTGTTTCCTCAGATATAACAAAACTAACTCCTTAAGTGGAAGCTACATAAAGTGACTGTACTCATTTATTTAATAATATTTCTATCAAACTATATTTTGTAGCGATCTTAAACTTGGCTATTTTAGAAGTAAGATAGAGGACAAAGAGAAAGAGACAACATCTTGTACATATGAAAAAAGAATGTAAAAAAAAAAAGACAAAAAACAGATGTGAAAGAAGAAAGTTGGGTAAACAGAACTAAATTAGGCCCTAAGCTATAAGTCCAGCAGCTCCCAGTAAGCAAATGTGTAACACAGTCATAGAATTCAGCATGTGTTCAATCTTACGGTGAAATGGCAAGAAAAAAAATGGCTGCTTCCAAGACAAACAGACTCCCTCTGTCTTGTGTAAAACCAGGTCAAATGGTAATGATAACATTAATGTGTGTTATATATTGATTTAAAGAAAAAAATACAATGCATAAAGCAAGACTGCTTAAAATAGAAAAGTGCAAAGGTTAACTCTTCTAGATATCAAAGGATGGACCTGTACTCATGAAAGAAAATACTCAGAGCATTTCAAAACAACAAATGTATTAAAGCACTCAAAACAAAAGTAAAGGTTTCTGTCTCTGGGCAGGAAATGTGTGATTTATTCAGTTCATAGAAGGTAAGAAACAATTCTCCATTAAAAATATATTGTCCAGTGCTAAAATTTTCTTAAACAACTATGTATTAACCTAACACAAGTTATTATTAAACAAAATCAGTTTAAATACCTTTGTATAAATGGTATTTTTCACAGTAGCATAATTTGATGATTCTGCAATATAAACCAGTATATCAATTACAATAATATGCAAATTTAGGAAAAGTTATCACCTTCTAAAGCAATCCCAAAAAGAGAAGACTATCTGAGAGGAGAAACAAACAAACAGAACTGGAAAAACTCATACTTCAAGCTACAGGCAACTTCTCTTGTCAGCATGAAAATACACTGTTTGCTAATGTACAGTATCTGTTGCACTGGACCATGATGTATTTTCACTTATTCCATATCCCACGCTTTGGGATCTGCATGTCTACAGTTTAGAATTTATTTTAAGGTGCCCTGAAAACAGACCTGTGACACTATGAAGGCCTGTTTGGCCTCGCAGTACAGTGCCATAAAAGAGATTACTATATACCCTCATGGCACTGACTTCTATTTTTCTTACCCACAATCAATGACATGAGCTTCCCCATGGTCCCCAGCCTCCACCTACAGCCATAGCATCGTGAATCACACAAAGGTGGACTGGAAGGGACCTGTAGATGTCAGCCATTGGAATCTCTTGCTCCAAACAGAACTATCACTGAACAATGAATTTTGTCTGAAAACCTGCAAGGATGGAAATACCACAGCCTCTCCAAGTAGGGAAAGCTGAAGCACTGAATGTTATGATGGGCAGTCACGGATAGAAAGGAGAAAATGTTATCTTTATTGCAGTAAATTGGTGCATTAAGTAAGACTGATTCTGTAAAGCAAATCTCCTGAATATGAATTACAGATAGGACCACTCACTGCATTTTACTGCTCCTTGGTTACAGGCCAGCTTGCACTGAAAGATGTACATTCTTAATGGTATGACACACTCTAATCACTTCAGAGAATGAATACTAATTTGAAATAGGTACTTTTCATTGGCAGTCTTCAACATAAAATTTGTTAGCCTTTTCATGGCTGGGACATGATGTGACTTAAACAACTCTGCATGTACATACAGTGAAAA